AGTCTGCATGTGCAACTGAATAACCACTTCGGGTAAGAAATTCAGCAATCTTACCATACCAGGCTCTTGGTGCCTGCTTCAATCCGTAAAGAGCTTTTCTCAGCTTGCACACATGAGTGGGATTAACTGCATCCTCAAATCCCTTTGGTTGGTTCATGTAGATCTCCCGATCTAATTCTCCATGCAGGAAAGCATTCTTCACATCCATCTGCCATAATTTCCAGTCTTTACTAGCTGCAAGAGCTAGCAGCACCCGTACAGTAGTTATCTTCGCCACTGGACTAAATGTTTCATCATAGTCCAGTCCATATTGTTGTGAGAACCCTCGAGCCACCAAACGAGCCTTGTATCTTTCAATTGATCCATCTGTGCGTCGCTTTAATTTATAAACCCACTTGCAGGAAATGGGTTTTATATCTCTTGGTCTTGGTACCAGTTCCCACGTTTGATTCTGCTTTAAGGCTGTAACTTCTTCTTCCATTGCCTTCTGCCAAGCTTTATTCTTAATTGCTTCTTCATATGTCTCCGGCTCTTTAACACCGTCTTCTAAAATAGCCGCATTAGCATACTTGGGATTAGGCTTTCGGATTCTTTCCGTCCTTCGAAGTTGTGGAGGCGGCGTCTCCCTTTCACCGGCATTACTTGTTTGAGTTACTTCTTGCTCAATGACATCAGTGTCGCTCGGATCTTCAGGTGTATCAACACTTGACCAAATGTGTGCAGTTTGCTCCCCCATCTTTTGTTTTAAAACTTCTTCAATATTTTCCGAGTCTGGTAATACTTTCTTCTCTAAGGACCACCATGAAGATGCTTCATCGAACACTACATCTCTTGAAGTGTAGCATCTTCCGCTTGTTGGATCACAACACCTCCATCCTTTTCTTTGATTGTCATATCCAACAAATATACACCTGACTGCTTTCTTGTCAAACTTGCTACGTAAATGACTAGGTACAAATACGTAGCAGACACAACCAAATACTCGAAAGTAGCTAACAGTAGGTTTCATGTTCCATAGTGTCTCAAATGGTGAGATGAAACCTAACCTTGGTTGGGGAAGTTTATTGATCACATGGGCAGCAGTTCGCATTGCTTCAGCCCAAATCTTCCTGGGACATTCTTCGCGTGTAGCATGCTTCGACAAATTTCTGCAAGATGTCGATTCTTTCTCTCAGCTACACCATTTTGTTGAGGTGTGTTGGCACATGTGAATTGATGACGTATACCACATTCTTTTAGATAGCTATTGAATTCTTCCGAGGTGTATTCTCCTCCATTGTCTGAGCGTAGACACCGAATCTTCTTTCTCACTTCTCCTTCGATCGTTGTCTTGAATTCTAGAAACTTTGAGAATGTTTCAGATTTTTCTTTCATGAAGAAAACCCACACATATCTCGAATAATCATCAATGAATGTCACCATGTACCGCATCCCGCTAATTGATGTCTGCTTGACTGGACCGAACACATCCGAGTGAATTAACTCTAGTGGCTTCTTTGCTCTAAAATTTGACTCCTTGTATGGTAATTGATGAGCTTTACCATACTGACATCCAGCACAAACAACATCTGTTTTAACTTCAAGTTGAGGTAAGCCACTGAGCATGGATTTCTCCATTATTACCTTCAACTTGTGATAACCAACATGTCCCAGCCGTGCATGCCATAGATCTGCTGTCTCGTTCTTACGAGTCTTATCTACATAGGCAGACTCTGCGGAGAGAACATAGACGGACTCCACTCTCCGTCCTTCCATTGTTGGCTTTTCTGATATTTTAAGATCTCGATAGACCTTCACATCTTGTGGGCCAAACAAGACGTAGTTTCCTGATGATGTTAGTTGCGATACCGATAACAAGTTCTTCTTCATACCTGGCACGTGATAGACATTATGTAGTGACACCATGTCAGATTTATTACCAGGCATGATCGTTGTTTTGCCAATCTGAGCAATTGGAAGTCGTGCATTGTTGGCTGTAAGTACCATGCGACTCCCTTTGTACTCCTTCACGTCTTGTAGTTTGTTCTGATCACCAGTCATGTGATTGGAGCATCCTGAATCAATGATCCAGTCATTCTCATAGTTGATACGCTCTCCCATCATTGCCATGAGCGCCAACTCGTTTTCTTCTATGGCGCATAATGCCTCAGCATCCCATTCATCCTCTATTTCCTTTTTGGAAGTTACGACATTGCTTTCCACAGACTTTTTCTTTGACCAACAATCTTTGGACATGTGGCCCCACTTTCCACAATTGTTGCAGTTGCCTTCGAACCTCCTCCCCCGAGAACTCTTATTGTCGGTCTTTTGAGATCTCCATGGTTGTGAGGTTCCTGGCTGACTCTTCCCTTTGTCAGCATTTTTGTATCCTTCTTTAGAAGGTGGCTTGAAATTTCTCCGACTTTTACTTGTGTAGAGTGCTTCTTCTTCACTCTTCAGCGTGATGCCTCCCATTTGCTTAGCCATAGCTTCTTGGCTGGCCAACAAATTCTCAAACTCTACAAGTGATGGTTGAACGGGCCATCCTTGTACAGCAGTAACGAAGCTTCTATATTCCGGCCTCAGTCCATGGATGATGATCCTCTTCATTCGAGCTTCTGTAATGACGGATTGCGGATCTAGTTCAGTAATCTCCCGACATATCGACTTGACCTTGTGGAAATATTGAGCAATCGTCATGTCACGTTGTGAGATTGATAATAGCTCGTTCTCCAAAAGTTGTAGTCTTGTATCATTCTTCTTTGAGAAAAGCGTCACAAACGTGTCCCAAGCTTCTTTCGGTGTGTTCTCGTCCCGAATATGCTCCAACATCTCTTCTTCGATTGTGGTCTTCAAGGCAAACATTGCTTTGCCTGCTTTGATTTTCCATTTGCGTAGAGCGCCATTAACATCTTCCTCCGGAGGCGTGGTTTCGCTTCCGCCAACGACCTCCCATAGATCTTGTCCTTGTAAGTAGGACTTCATACATGTTTCCCATGTTTTGTAGTTGTTGTTGTTGAGTTTCTTGATTCCTCCGACGACTTGGAGATCACCCATCGTGTTGGCAGTACCTCGGTAATACCAAACAAGCTAGTTTCGACACTAAACTTGCAGAGTCACAAACTACTCACGATACAACGAGAATCACTCGTTCTCACTATCAAGAAACCTTGCTCTGATACCAGATTGTTGAACACGACTCTTTGTATGGGAAACAAAAAGACTTTTATTAAGACACTTAAGAAGACCTTACACTTTGTGAGACTACTACACACTTTGCTCTCTTTGAGGCTTTCTTGGATGGTTTGGAGCAAATGAGCTCCACACCTATTTATAGGCCTCTTAGGAAGGTTCTAGATACTAGTATACACTTACTACCTACTAGATAACTCTAGAACTATCTAACATACTCTATATGCTTCCATATGTTTCTAGAATATTCTACCATGTTCTAGAGAGGTCTAGGTTGCTCCAGTGTCTTCTAGAATGATCCATAACCTTCCAGGGTCTTCCATGTCGTTCTAGAGTATTCTAGACTCTTCCGGTATATTCCGGAGTCTTCCATAGTCTTCCATAATGTTCTAGAATCTTCTAGAGCGTTCTAGAACAAGCTAAAGTCTTCTAGATAATATTTGTTCTATTGGGCTAGTGATGATCTTTAACAATCAGGTAGAGAAGCTAGTAGCAGCGAAGCTTGAGTCTCATTATCAAATTTAATTCTCACAGATGATAATCTGGACAGAATTGAATTTAGATTGTTAATGTGAACCGTAACTGAGCCTTCCTCATTCATCCTTGTAGTGAACAGCTCCTTCATCAAGAACACCTTGTTAGCCGCCGATGGTTTCTCATACATATTTGACAGAGCCTCCTGCATACCACGCGCCGTGGTTTCATTCATGATGTTGAAAGCAACGCTCTTCGTCAACGACAATGTAATAACCGTCTTGGCTTTCTTGTCCTTTGAGTTCCACGCATCTTCAGCAGCTTTTTCCATTTTCTCCGGTTTGTCTCCGAGTACCACGTCCAAGTCTTTCTGACATAGCAATGCTTCTAATTGCATTTTCCACCAGCTAAAATCAGAACCATTGAACCTTTCGATTATAACCTTGTCTTCAGCCATTACGGCAAACAAAAAAAAAATAAGGTACACTCGTGTGTGACAGAAAAACGATCGTACCCTCCAAAACCTCGCTAACCAGGCTCTGATACCAATTGTTAGGAATCGGACCGGGTACACGCAGCGGAAACACACTATCACACACTCACAAACGAAACGAGAAAATAAAGCAAGAAGAACACAAGGATTTTACGTGATTCGGATTCGGTGTAAATCCTACGTCCACGGGCTGCAACTAGTTTTCTTATTAACTCAATAAGATTACAATTTATAACTCTACAAGTTATATTTGATGCACACTTTCTCTGCTACACAACACACATATATATATAGCTGTATATGTGCATAAACTTCCAAATATATATTATTATATATATTGCTTTACGCCAATAAAAAAAGAGAAAAGTAAGAGCAGACAAATGTTAAACATTTGTTGGAAATTGACGTTCACCAATTCTATGGCCATCTTCTTTGACCACCTTTTCCTCTACCAATTTTCTCCACCAACCAACATAAACTTGGTTTCATTCATATATGTTTATAATTTAGTTGCTGGAAATTACAAAAATTCATTTCATACTCATTAGATTCTTCTTAGACCCAAATAATATAATTACTATTTTAATGGGTAGATTTATATTTGATTGAATGATTTGATTAGTTTTACATTTTGGGATTTATATCACATGCATAAAAATATCACAAGATGGGAATAGGTATATATCTACAATAAATCCAAATTTTGAAGCAATTTATTTCAACGCGTCATCTTTCATTTGTCTTATAGTTTGGTTCCAGTTTCAACGAAATTAAGTATTGTATGCCCCACACAAGTAGGCCTGCAATTTGAGGCCACACACTTACTAAGCAATGATTTTCACATCAAGACTATAAAACGCTGATGGGGGCAGTTCATATAAGCATCAATACAATCCAAAAATCACCAAGATTTTCCATTTACATTATGAATCTTTTTGTTTTTATAATCATCTCGATTCTCTTGCTACTCACGACTACAACTGCCAGCCAATTGGTAGCAGGGGGAGAAGAAGGAGGAGATGATAGAAATGGTGCTAATATGAACAAGTGTCTGGAAAAGGAGAGACTTGCTCTCCTTCTTTTCAAAGCTCCCCTTTATGATCGCCGAGGCATTCTCACTACATGGAGAGCTGACGATCATGACTGCTGCAAATGGAGAGGAGTCACGTGCAGCAACCAAACAGGTCATGTCACAGGGCTTGATATCAGTAATTTTGATCTTGGAGGTGAGATTAGCCATACGTTTCTTAACTTAACCTACTTGAATCATCTTGATCTTTCCTACAATTCTTTGTTGAATGGAACCATTCCCAGGTCAATTGGTTCATTGACTCGATTAAGGTATCTTGATCTTTCCTACAATCATCTTAATGGAACCATTCCCAGGTCCATTGGTTCATTGACAGAATTAAGGCACCTTGGCCTTTCCGATAACTCTTTTTATGGAACCATTCCTCCAGAGTTTGGAAACCTCACCAACTTGCAATACCTTAACCTTGGATCCATTGGAAGGTATAGAGTTGAAAACCTAGAGTGGTTGTCACATCTCTCACATTTGGAGTGGCTAAGAATGGATGGGATTTCCCTAGCCAAACAAAATTACTGGGTAGATGTAATTCTGAGTCTCCGAAAACTCTCATATTTATCTTTAGAGGGATGTGAGCTATCACAGATCATATATCCATATTCTTCGTTTCTCAACTCCTCTTTTTCATCTGTTGAGTCACTATATCTCGGTGACAACAATCTCACCTCATCCATGTATCGTTGGTTGTTCCCATTAACCAGCAATAAGCTTCGTTTTCTTTATCTCTCTAGCAACATGTTAGATGGGATACCCAAATATGTTGGTAATCTCTGTAGTCTGGAAACTTTGTACTTCAATAACAACTCTGCAGTGGTCAAATTTCCTGATTTTCTCAAAAACTTGTCCGGATGCACATCGCATACATTACAACTGTTGTATGCTATTGGAAGCCAATTTACAGATTCAGTTTCCGATGAGATCCAAAAGCTTTCATCCCTAAAGTCTTTGGACCTGTCTCATAATCACTTAAATGGAAGTATAAGTGAGAAACTGTGGGAGCTACCCAGGCTTCAAACTCTTGACGTTTCTTTTAATAATCTTAGAGTTCCTTCCACATATCACTTGTCAAGCCTTTCTTTACTTACAGTCTATTGATATGAGGTCTTGCAAGCTGTTAGGGCCTCGCTTCCCCAAATGGATTCGGACATTCAAACGTCTCACCCGTCTTGATATTTCCAATGCTGGTATTTCAGACACAACTCCTCTGGGGTTTTGGGACATATGGCCTTATCAATTAGATTATCTAAATCTTTCTTCCAACAACATTAACGGGAAAGTACCAGATTTATTATCAAATTTTGCCAGAGATTCAGCGATAGATTTGAGTTCAAACAACTTTTATGGTCCAATAACAAATGTTTCTTCCACTTTGTTATCATTAAATCTTTCCAAAAACAATTTCTCTGGAGGAATCGCATTTATATGCCAAATTTTTGATGGGTTATTATTTCTTGACCTCTCTGATAACTCATTTATCGGACAACTCCCGGATTGTTTGTGGCATTTCAAACGACTAAAAGTTCTTAATCTCAGACACAATAATCTATTTGGAAGACTTCCTCCCTCTGTTGGATCTATGACAGAACTTGAGGTGTTATATTTATCCAAGAACAACTTCTATGGAGAATTGCCTTTGTCATTAAAAAATTGCACCAGCTTAAAGTCCTTGAATTTTGGGGCCAACAAGTTTTCTGGTAATGTGCCTGTCTGGATTGGGGAAAACTTAACAGGGTTGTATGTTCTTATCCTAAAATCAAACAACTTCTTTGGAACCATCCCACTACAGTTATGTCAATTATCCAATCTTCAAATTCTAGACTTGTCAATGAACAATCTCCATGGAATCATCCCCTCATGTTTGGGTAATCTTACAAGCATGGTTCAACAAGAATTCTTACAAGGTGTAGAGTTTTATAAAACTTCAGTAAATTATTCTTATGAAATTGAGACATATGTTGACCATGCGATAATTCAGTGGCAAGGAGATGAACGAGAATTCTTTAGCACACTGAAATTGTTAAAGAGCATTGACCTGTCAAGCAACAGTCTAACAGGAAATATCCCATATGAAATTACTAATCTCTATGACTTGATTGCCCTGAACTTGTCAAAGAACAATCTATCTGGAGAAATTCCATGGACAATTGGTGAGATGAAAAAGCTTTTGACTTTAGATTTATCCAAAAACAGTTTTTCAGGGCAGATACCATCAAGCATGTCTCATATGAGTTTACTGAATTACCTAGACTTGTCATTTAATAACTTGTCGGGGAGAATCCCATTTAGCACTCAACTTCAGTCCTTTGACCCTTCAAGATATGACGGAAACACAGGACTATGTGGACTTCCCCTTCCCAAGAATTGCCCTGTAGATGAAAAATCAAAAGTACCACCTCTTGTTGGTAAAAGTGAGGGTGATGAGGAAGACATAGATGAAATTCAAAGATGGTTTTATATTGGTGGGGGCATGGGTATTGCTACTGGATTTTGGATAGCATGTGGGGCTTTACTTCTCAACCGTCATGGGAGACATTTTTTTTTATTTCTTATTTTTTTAATTTTATGATAGCTTCAAAGATTGGATTTATGTGAAGGTGGTGGTATTCAATTATTCATTGCAAATTTGTAATGGGTATTCATTGTAATTTGGAAGAGGTTTTTAAGTCCCCATATCAATAAATTTGCTAGTAACATCATGAGTGGCTATTTTCCACGTGTTGTATGAAATTAGACATCCATAACACTTTATATGTTCGGTATTGTACCATATAAAAACAAGATGAAAATTAGAGGTGTAAAAAAACCGCTTTGAAAAAGAATGGAAACCAAACCGGAAATGTTTAGGAAAAAACCAAGCGGTTTAGTATTCTTTTGATATATTATACATGTAACCGTTTTTTTTTCCTATAAAAAACCCGAATTATATAATATACTAAATCTAAACCCCCTTAGGGAACAGTAAATTGATTTCATTGGCTCTTTTTTTTTCCCTTAATTTCTTTTTTTGTTTTCCCTTTTCTCTTTTTGGAGACAGTGGATTACACGTGGTGTCAAGTACACAGAAACCGTCTACGTGTTGGGTGCTCTTCGTTTCTTCCGTTGACTCAGCTGATTTCACCGACTCTTAGCCTCGGTTTTCCTTCTGTTTTCACTTCATCGTCTCCATTGAATTCTGGATGCTTCCCACCGCCTCTCCAAAACCCTCCGTCTCTCCCTTGAACGCATCGGCATCCCTTCTATGTAACCTCCAAAACCCGATGTCTCTCCCTGAACGCATCGGCATCCCTTCTATCTAACCCTGGAAACTGCTGCCTCTGAATGCTCCATCGATTATCACCCCATCGTCGGTGTCAGGACGCGGCCACCGACTGAACGTCGGCCATGGGCCCTGGTAAAACGAGGATGACCGGTGATGCCCAACAAAAACCCACCAGAAGAGAGCTTCAGTTCAAGTGTTCGACCGATTTCATTTTCTGGCCCTACCGTCATAACGTCATAACCAGCACGCTGTTGTGTTCCAGCCTCCAAAGCTACAGTAGCCATCATTGTTGACAAAATGAAACCTACGGGACAAGTTTTTCTTCCCACCCTATGATGAACACAATTAACAGACGCAACTACAATGGTGGCTGCCAAGACTATAAATAGAGACTTCATTCTTCAGTTGTATGCATCCCAAAAACACACAGAGAAACAGATAGTATAACACTTAGAGTGAGAGTGTTAGTGAAAGGGTTGGTTTTTTGTAATAGTTGAGTGTGAGAGTTGCTCCTCCTATTGTAATTCTATTTTCGTGTTTAATAGAAGAGTTTTCCGACCCCAACAACTGGTATCAGAGCCCCGTTTGGTGTCCAGGGAATTCTTTACGAATTTCTCTGTTTTTTCGTCAAATTTTTTTTTGTCTCAAAATCCATTTTTGAGTACACCGTTGGAAAGGGCTTGTTTCAAGGATTCCGAAAATATATTTTTCGTTATTTTTTGACCACGGGAAGACATTCCAAAACGTCGGTCAAAGTTTGGTCAAAATCGCCGGAAAATATCGCCGGAAAAACCAGTCGCCGGAAAGCCTAGCCGGAGAAGAAGGAGTGACGTCATCAGTGACGTCATCATTGACCAGAGTTTCAGATATTTTCAGTTTAGCCCCTGAAGTTTCCGAAAATTTCAAACAGGTCCCTCTGTTTCTAAAACACTACAGTTCGGTCCCTGTTTGTTCCGAAAGTAACCTGTTTGCTCCCTAGACTTCAGAAAAGTTTCAGAAAGGTCCCTGGTTGGCAGAAACGTTTCAGATTAGTCCCTGTAAGCTGCGAAAATTACAGTTTAGTCCCTATAATTCTGAAAAGTTACAAATTAATCCATAACTTTTCAAGAAAGTATATTTTGAGCCCGAAAAATTCTACCCCACCATTTTTGACACTTCCGAATCCAACCGAGAGCTCGGTTTTATCTAATTTTTCCTCGAAGTATTTGTAAAATAAATTTTCAATTATTTTCAATGGAATCTACAAGTACGATTACGATGGTTCGACTTACGCCCACAAATTACAACATGTGGAAGCCAAGGATGGAAGATTTGCTTAATCTGAAAGATTTAGCAGAGCCTATAGAAAAGCAAGGCGTCAAACCCAACACAAAGACAGACGAAGTTTGGACGAGAATAAACAGGAAAACGGTGGCACAAATTCGACAGTGGATCGACCACAGTGTTTTTCATCATGTCTCTCAAGAGACAGACGCGTACAAACTTTGGGAGAAGCTCGAGAATATGTATCAGGCAAAGACGGCACGCAACAAGACCTTGCTGATGAGGCGCCTTGTAAACCACAAGTTACGAAGTGGTACATCCATAACCGAGCATACAAGTCAGTTCCAGGATCTCGTAAACCAGCTCGGTGCTGCTGATTGGGTTCTCAAAGACGAGGAACAAGCCATATTGCTCTTGAGTTCTCTACCAGATAATTGGGAGACGCTTGTTGTGACTCTCAGCAATTCTGCCCCCGATGGTAAAGTGACAATGGAGATGGTCACAGATGCCCTAATGAACGAGGAAGCCAGAAGGAAAGAAGCTGGTACAGACCAGTCTTTTGCCCTCGTGTCAGATAACAAAGAAAGAGGCGGAGGCAGAACTGGAGGCCGAGGTCGAGGTAGAGGCAGAGGTAGACATGGTCAAAGTAGAGGAAGATCCCAAGATCGTGGGAAATCACGAGATCGAGGGAAATCGCGAGAGCGAGGTAAATCTTCAAATACATGGTTCGAAGGCTATTGCAATCATTGTAATTATTATGGCCACAAAAGGAGTGATTTCCGAAGGTTCTTACGAGAGCAGCCCGAGACAAGCCAGAATCCAAGCAGGGAGAATGGTGAAACCATGGTCACCATAACACAAGACGTTGCCCTTGTTACATACGAGGAGGAAGCATGCCTACATGTTGAAACTCATGATGATGAGTGGGTGATTGATAGCGCTGCATCATATCATTCGACTCAAACCGGGATTTATTCAGTACTTATAAACCCGGAGACCATGGTACCGTGAAGATGGGAAACACCAGTTTCTCAAGCATTGCTGGTATTGGTGATGTGCATTTAAAGACCAATGTTGGATGTACATTGGTGTTGAAAGATGTTCGGCATGTCCCAGAGCTGCGAATGAATCTTATCTCAGTTGGAGCTCTTGACATCCAAGGATATGATAATCAATTCAAAAATGGCACCTGGAAGTTGTTGAAAGGTGTTATGGTTGTTGCAAGGGGAAAACTTGATGGTACTCTTTATAAAAGTCATGCAAAGTTGCTTCAACCAAGTCTCAATGTTGTTAAAGAAGAGACATCACCAAACTTGTGGCATAGAAGACTAGGCCACATGAGCGAGAAGGGATTGACGACTCTTGCAAAGAAGGAGTCCATTTCAATGGCAAAAGATGTTGCCTTGGATCCTTATAAATACTGCCTATTCGAGAAACAACACAGAGTTTCCTTTAGCTCCACAAGAAATAACCGCTCTGAGTTGCTGAGCCTTGTCCACTCCGACGTATGTGGACCCATTGAAGTAGAATCTCTTGGTGGAAGCCGGTATTTTGTGACATTCATTGACAATGCGTCACGAAAGGTATGGGCATACTGTTTGAGAACGAAGGACCAAGTATTGGACCGCTTCAAAGCTTTTCATGCAATGGTGGAAAGACAAACATGCAAGAAGCTAAAATGTCTCCGATCAGATAATGGAGGCGAATACTATTCCCGTGAGTTCTCTAAATACTGCACGGAACATGGTATCAGACATGAAAAGACTGTCCCACGAACCCCACAACACAATGGTGTAGCAGAACGGATGAATCGCACCATTGTTGAGAAAGTTCGATGCATGCTCAGCATGACTAAACTCCCAAAGCCATTCTGGGGTGAAGCTGTATTGACATCTTGCTATCTAATAAATAGGTCACCTTCCGCTCCATTGAATTTTGAAGTTCCGGAGAAGATATGGACGGGTAAAGACATATCATATTCTCACTTGAGAGTATTTGGGTGCAAGGCGTTTGCACATGTATCAAGTGAACTGCGGAAGAAGTTGGACCTCAAATCCACTCCATGCATCTTTATTGGATATGGAGATGAAGAGTTCGGGTACAGGCTATGGGACCCAGAACTAAAGAAGGTTATTCGAAGTAGAGATGTGGTTTTCTATGAAAACCAGTATTATGATTTCAAGGCACCGGTTAACAAGCAACAAAGCTCCAAAGTTTCAGATATAATATCTGAAAATAAAGAAGATGTTTCCGCTGAAGAAGTGGATGAAGAAGTCGATGATGCATATCAAGAAGGTGTTGATGAGGGGGAGCTTCCACCCCTGGATAATTCAGATCCACTGCCAGAAGTTGCAAACGAAGGAACTCAAGTTAGACGGTCCGAACGAGTACGTGCTCCATCAACAAGATATCCGACTTCAAACTACATCCTTCTTACTAGTGAGGGGGAGCCAGAGAGTTTTCAAGAAGCTCAATCTCATATTGACAAAGCAAATTGGCAGAAGGCCATGGAAGAAGAAATGAATTCTTTGCAGAAGAATCAAACATATGAGTTGGTAAACCTCCCCAAAGGAAAGAAAGCCTTGAAAAACAAGTGGGTTTTCAAGTTGAAGAAAGACGGCAAGGGAAATACTATGAAGTATAAGGCGAGACTCGTTGTCAAAGGTTTCCAACAAAAAGAAGGAATCGACTTTGATGAAATTTTTTCGCCAGTTGTGAAGATGATGTCTATCCGAGTTGTACTCGGATTAGTTGCCAGTCTAGATCTTGAACTTGAGCAGATGGATGTGAAAACAGCCTTTCTCCATGGTGATTTGGATGAAGAAATATACATGGAGCAACCTGATGGCTTTAAAGTCCCAAAGAAAGAGCATCTCATCTGTAAATTAAAGAAGAGCCTTTATGGTCTTAAGCAAGCCCCAAGGCAGTGGTACAAGAAGTTTGATTCATTTATGATGAATCATGAGTACAAGAGAAGTGTTGCAGACCATTGTGTCTATCTGAAGAAGTTTCCAGATGGGAAATTTGTCATCCTTTTGCTCTACGTGGATGATATGTTGATAGTAGGCCAAGATGCAATGATGATCAACAACTTGAAGAAGGATTTGTCTAAGTTCTTTGATATGAAAGACTTAGGCCAAGCACAACAGATATTGGGCATGAAAATTATCCGTGATAGAAAATCAAGAAAATTGTTCTTATCACAGGAAGAGTATGTTGAACGTGTGATCAAAAGGTTCAACATGGAAAATGCCAAGCCCGTTGGTATGCCCTTGGCTAACCACTTTAAGTTGAGTAAGAAAAATTATCCATCTTCTGAGAAAGAAAAAGAAGAGATGAAGGCAGTCCCCTATTCCTCAGCCGTAGGAAGTCTTATGTATGCAATGGTGTGTACAAGACCAGATATTGCTCATGCTGTCGGTGTTGTGAGTAGATATCTAGCTAATCCGGGAAAACAACATTGGGAAGCAGTCAAATGGATACTTCGATACCTGAAGGGTAGTTCGAAAGTATGTTTATGCTATGGGGGAGCAAAGCCAATCGTGGAAGGTTATACAGATGCCGATATGGCAGGAGATCTTGATAGTAGGAAATCTACATCAAGTTACATTTTTACTTTGGCAGGGGGAGCTATCTCGTGGCAATCCAAGTTACAGAAGTGTGTCGCACTGTCAACAACAGAAGCCGAGTATATTGCTGCCGTTGAAGCTGGGAAGGAGCTTATATGGATGAAACGGTTTCTTCAAGAATTAGGCTTTCCACAAGAAGAGTACATCATTCATTGCGATAGTCAGAGTGCTATGGACCTGAGTAAGAACTCGATGTACCATTCCCATACAAAACATATTGATATACGTTATCACTGGCTTAGAGAAGCAATTGAGGGACGAGAATTGAAGTTGTTAAAGATCAACACCAATAACAATCCTGCAGACATGTTGACAAAGGTGGTGACAGAAGAGAAACACAGACTATGTGCTGACATAGTTGGGATGAGGATTGTTGGACGGAGACTGGAGGGGGAGATTTGTTGTGTTCCAGCCTCCAAAGCCTCCAAAGCTACAGTAGCCATCATTGTTGACAAAATGAAACCTACGGGACAAGTTTTTCTTCCCACCCTATGATGAACACAATTAACAGACGCAACTACAATGGTGGCTGCCAAGACTATAAATAGAGACTTCATTCTTCAGTTGTATGCATCCCAAAAACACAGAGAAACAGATAGTATAACACTTAGAGTGAGAGTGTTAGTGAAAGGGTTGGTTTTTTGTAATAGTTGAGTGTGAGAGTTGCTCCTCCTATTGTAATTCTATTTTCGTGTTTAATAGAAGAGTTTTCCGACCCCAACACACGCCACCGTCCGGGCCGTCTCCACTGACTACTCAAAAATGGCGGTGATGAACTCCATTCGTATCGACGCTGCCAAGATGACATCGATTAACGATATTGCCTCCAGGTATCTGTTTTTCTCTTTTCTATGAACGAATCGAAGTCAAGTCTCTGTTTTTTTCGAAACTTATCAATTTCTTTTATGATTCATAGGATTTTGGGTAGAAGCTATTACGATTTCAAGACCTAACCATCATATTCAGAAACTACCATTCTACATTCAAGGTAAGCAATGATTTCATCCCCTACACCTTATTCTTGATCTATATTTTAAGCCCTAAACCTCAATCTTCCATTTCATTGATTACAACAACTTGATTGTTTTGGTTAGTAATTTGATATCATTTTCTTTTGTTTTGATCATATGGATGGCGGTAGCAATGCATGTAAAAGTTGATATGAGGAAGATGAGAAGCTGAACACCAGTAGCATATGGATTTTGTATGGTTTACCTTTTGTAGTGATTTTTTTCATCAAATTCTAGGGTTTTGTTGTCAATTGTTTTGGTTTGGTTATTAATTTCTGGCTCACAATTTGATAGGACTTACTTAATTTTCTTTTTTAATTATTCGCAACTCTCATTTCCAGGTGATTAAAAATCACTTTTTATTTCCTTTTAGTAATTTTTTTTATGCCCACTACCATTTTTTGGGTTGGTTGTTTTTGCAGGTTTACTATGATTTTCACCCGATGTTCATGCTTACGGAGCCACCAATCGACCCGATCTGATACCAGGCTTTATCCATCTGGAACTCTAAATTTGCAATTCTATAAAAAAGGTATAATAATACTCTTCTTTTCTTGTAACATTATTAACCACAATAAGTATTGAAGAACATGAACATATCCAGGTGAATAGGTTTTTAATAGTATTTGATATTTTGGTATGTCAGATGGTTATCCACAAATCCTAATTGCTTTTCAATTTCAACCATATAGGTGTGATTTTCGATTTTGGTTTGATCTTGACTTGCAATTCGATCTAAGGAATGTGTGTGTTTGATTTTTTAAGCCTGCAACCAAGGTCAGATTTCCTAAACATAGGAGAGGAAAGAAGGGTAGTTCTAGAGTCCCCTTTTGGAGAAGAGATGCACAGTCAAAAGTCAAAAAAGAAGGGTCGTGGTATATTAAATTTCCATAGTTTTTGTTTTCATTTAAAATTTGATCATTGTAGGTCATAGATAAATTGGGTGAAAAAAGCCCTTCCAAGTCCAAAACTGTTATCGTGAGCATGTGATTGTATGTAAGTGGTTATATTAGAAAATTTTTGTGTACGCGACAATTTATTGATGGAAAAAAATCTTGAAGAATTTGTTTTCCTGTAATTTTCTTGCAGCTCTGCTAAGATGAAAGACATTCTTGAACCTAAAACACATGAGGAAGGAGCAAAGGACGCAACAAAATGGCAAGAGTGTTGTTGATTTGTTTAGATGACAAAGAAAAGGTGCTTTTGCAAGAGTTATCTTTATGGTGAAATCAGAACCTGATCAAATATTATCAAAAGGGAAAGGTATAACATTGTTTGAAAGTATAATTTTATAATGCATAAATTAAGGCACCTTTTTGTTTATTTGATAAAGGTTTAAATACATAAAGGTAGCAACATAGGTATTTTTGTAAGAAAATGGAAGTATGTTGCTCTTATTGCATTGTTGCTTTATTGGTAATAATACCAATGCACTTACATTTATCTACCAGTATGGGTATTGTACCTTATCACGGAAGTATGTTTCTCTTAACTCTTAAGTGCATTGTTATAATGGATTAATAACTATAAGTACGCTGCTATTTTTTTATAAAGAAATGCAACTATGTTGCTCTTATTGGTGCATATTTGTATTGATAATAGTTTGTGGTTTTGTTTATTAGAGCTTTAAATGCTCAAATGTTTGGTATCTTGGCATGTTATTATATGTCATTTTTGTTTGGTCTAGTGTAATTATCCAAGGCAAAAAGAAGATAGGGTGTACAAAACAAAAAGAACAATAAAAGAAGGAACTGCTATGTTTAAAAAAAATAGCTCTTTTTTTAAATGCATGATATTTTTAGAGTATGTAGACTGTTGGAAAAGCAGGCCCTCAACTCCCACACAAACTAAAAAAAAATACCCTGTGTTTAATATACGAGAAATATATAGAGAAAAGAAGTAATTGTGACTCAAAAACTGCCCTATAATCAGAAAATAAAAAGGCTTTAAATAGCCTGCACATACCAACGGAAGTAAAACAAAACAACCTAGAACCTAGCTACTACTCCTAGATTATAGGACACATTCAATGACCAAGTATAACACGTGCATCTCCTAAATACTTAGTCTACTATCCCTTATTCAAAACTAAAATCCCACACTTGACCCAACAACCCAACCCGACTTGAACCATCAAGATTATCCAAACCCAACATAGACCTGATATGCTCAACCGTTTTATGATCATATGTTTTGATATTTTTGTGATTGTGATTTTGTAAATGGTTTTATGCATCTGCTTTTTTTTTGTAGTTTGTTTATGGTTAATTGACGTCAACAGTCTTGGCAGCTCTGCTGTTTGTTGGGCTATCTTAGATTTGTATATTACAATTTGATTTAGCTATAATTGGGTGGATTTTTCTGTATTTTTACTTTTGCTGGACTGTTATACATCTCAACCCAATAACATTTTCGATTTTACCCTTGTGTTTGGAGCAGCTAACCCCGCAAAGCGGGGATTCTTCACTAGTTTTATGTAAAACACAAATCCGTTTCCGTCTATCACTTTTTTAAATTTGCTGTTGATAAACATTTAAAAAAAAAACCACCTAGGAAAATGCCATTTGAACACCTAAACGTTCCTGAATGGTTTGAAGTAGTTGTTTTAGATGCTATCTAGCTACTTTCGATGCATTCTAATGATAAATGTTTTTAGGGAAGGTAAAATGCAGTATGATTGTATTTTTTTTATTGTGTTATGGCAATTACTTATTCTTGGTTTTGGTCCTCATGTAGTAAATTTAAAGGTTCTTAAGCCAAACATTTTTTTTTACCGTTATTCTTTCATCGTCATCTCAAAGCAGTCATCACAAAGCACATATTATAAAAAGCCATTATAAATACACATCTATTACTAGGTATCTCCAATTGCTCAATCCAAATATCTGAATGGTTACAAATTACAAGAAAAAAAATGCAAAATGAAAAAATAAAAAATAAGAATACTTTCAATTGTGCACCCTTTAATGTATATTGCACGCCCACCTTCACCAAAAGGACCACATGATAAATAAATACAACCTACTTTTATTTATGTGTATTATAGCATCCCACTTGAACTTCCTTCTATCAGAACGTTCTACTTTCAAATGTTGTGCGGTTAGGAAAGGTCAAGACACAACATATAATGTTGTTGGGATATATGTAATAAACAACATACTTTCATTTATTTCATATTAACTTATTATGGCTTCCTATTTCCATTTCTTTCTATTACGTTTTATAAAGACATTGTACTTTCAAAATCTACAACATTCTAGGAGTGAAAATTGGTTTTATTAGTTTATATTGTTTTTGCTATGTTCTGTATAGTGTGTATAGTGTATGGACCCTAGTGTAATGACCTAAATTCTCAAATAAAGTTTTCATTTTTAATTAACCAAAACATTCCCATAGAATATAAAGTAATAATGACAATTGTTTTTAAAATTCATAACATTAACATTTTATTTCAAATAATCCATATTAGCTATAAAAGCATACCCCACACACTCCACACAACATACCCCACACAATCCACATAATCACATAATCTATATTAGCTATAAAAGTTACATAAACCACATAAGTCGTGCATACAAACATAGAGGGAAGCCTTGGAAACCCTCTAGGGTCTTACTCAGGGTGCCATGGGAACCCCCACATGGTCTTAGCCCAATGCTTCGGGAACCCCCGAGGTCTAGATTAAGGATGCCCTGGAAACCCTCCAGGGTCTTATACCCTAATGCCTCGGGAACCCCTGAGGTCTTTACCTAGGATGCCATGGAAACCCTCCAAGGTCTTTACCTAGGATGCCGTGGAAACCCTCCAATGTCTTACACCTACGTGCCCCGGGAACCCCACGAGGTCTTCCATGCAAGTATCATAGATACAACTAGCATACCACATATCACGTAATCAACTAGCACAACACATAGCAAGTAATGGGTCGGCCTTGGTGCCTTCGACCCATTGGTATGGTGAGGAGACTCACCTCTCAAGAAATGATGAGTTGATAAGATAAGTCCCAACTTGCAGATCCAACTCAAATGTATACAATCATCATGTGATAAACTTGTCAAAATCTCGAAATACCAGAAATACCCTTAAGGTCAAACTTGGTCAACCCTGTTCGAAGTCCAAGTCAAAGTGTTGACCCCAACTCGTTGAGTGCATCTAGCAACTCGTCGAGTTCCTTCAGAGTCTAGAAAACCGGGACAAAACCCTAGCCAACTCGCCAAGTTGTCTCATCAACTCGTTGAGTTCACTCAATATACAGTAGACGAGGAAACCTGATCCAACTCTACCAGTTGCCAGAGCAATTCGTCGAGTTTTCCCCCTGTTTTCACATTCGGATGATACGTTGATTGCAACGACTCAAGGGCTTAGATCTAAAATCTAAAGGTGTCTAGAAGGATAAAGTTTCCAACTTTATCCTCTAGAACCACTCTGAATGCTCTAAAGCCCTTAACAAAGGTTGGAAAGCTGAAAAGCTTAGCCATATGGTTCAAGACTCTAGTGATCTGGAATTCCTCATTTCCAGAAGAGGTTCTAATCCTCAAAACGTTCCAAAGATGGAGACTTTATGGACATGCATGTCCAATGCATGTATTGAAGTCAAAATGACCAAAGAGGGAAATTATACCCTAAAATCCATGCATGGCACCCATGCTTGACCAAAAGCTAGATCTAGCCCACTATGGGACCATTTTGCCCTCGAGACTCATAAAGTTGCAAACTTTATGAAGCCAATGTATGCAATCGACAAGAATGATAGGAAATAAAGAGTAACTCAAGATCTAGCCATACTCTAAGATAAAAATCGAATCTCGAGTGCTTACAATAGTCCACAAGATGGTCAAGCTCAAGAGTAAGGGCTTTGTTTGCTGAATCTTCTCCTTCTTCTCACTATCTTCTTCTTCTTAAGCTCCAAAAGTCACTCTAGCTCACAATATGAGAGAAAATAAAGATTAGGGTTTTGCACTGACGTTCTTAGGGTTTGGAGACTGATGGAAGTTCAGCCTCAAGGTTTTAAGGAGATTATATAGGATGCAAACCCCTAAAAATTAGGGTTTTCCTTTACAGCACCTACTCGTCGAGTTGGGTCTTCCAACTCGTCGAGTAGATCCTAAAATCTGTGTCCCACAAATGATCTCTACTCCACGAGTTGGAGCTCCCCAACTCGTCGAGTTCCAGCCTAAAACCCTAAAATTTTGAAAAGTAATTCGATACCTGAAACGAGCGTTACAAATCTCCCCCACTTGAACTAGACTTCGTCCTCGAAGTCTACTGATGCGAATGAATCTAGGTAGTGCTCCCGCATCTCATCCTCCGACTCCCATGTCCATTCAGAGCCCTTTCGGTGCTGGCATTGCACCTTTACTAGCTTCACCTCTTTATTGCGAAGTGCCTTGACTTTCCTATCCAAAACCGCCACATGCCGCTCAATGTAGTTCAGGCTCTCATCCACCTGAATGTCATCCAAAGATATAACTGCAACCTCGACTGTGACACACTTCCGAAGCTGAGACACATGGAAGGTGTTGTGAATTTGGCTAAGCTCATCCGACAGATCCAAACGATAAGCCACCTTACCCACCCGGGCCGAAATCCTGAACGGGCCAATATGTCGTGGCCCTAACTTGCCCCTCTTCCGGAACCTGATGACTCCCTTCCATGGAGACACTTTCAGTAACACAAAGTCCCCCACCGGGAACTCAAGATCTAATCGACGTCAATCAGCATAACTTTTATGACGGCTCTATGTGACTCACAGCCGGTCGCGCACCTGCTGAATCAACCCGTTAGTCTTGAGCACTACCTCGGGGCTCCCCATGACTCGGTGTCCAACCTCGCCCCAGCAAACCGGGGTCCTACATCTTCGACCATACAACATCTCAAACGGAGGTCAGTCAATACTAGCATGATAACTATTGTTATATGAATACTCTGGTAGTGGGAGGTATGAATCCCAACTTCCTCTAAAATCCAACACGCATGCCCGAAGCATATCCTCGAGTGTCTGGATCGTCCTCTTGCTCTGGCCATCTGTCTGAGGGTGGTATACCCTGCTGAAATGCAACTGAGTACCCAGTTCCTCGTGGACTTCTTCCAGAATCCTGATGTGAATTGAACATCCTGGTCGAAGATTACTAACACTGGCACCCCGTGCCTAACCACCACCTCTCGCACGTAAATATCCGCTAATTTCTCCATGGAGATGCTCTCGGAGATCGGAATAAGGTGGGCACTCTTCGTCAATCTATACACACTAAGCTATATGGCATCCACACCCCTCGCTGTCCTTGGTAACTTTGTGATTTATGTCTTTGGTGATCTCTTCCTATTTCCACATGGGAATGGGTAGCAGCTGAACCTTGTCA